TATTTTTGAAAAAACATTACCAAATATTTTTTTGTAGACATCCATAAAAATTCAGTGCCGTATTAAAAAATTTATTATTATATTATTTCAATCTTTCAAATGTATTTAATAAAAAATTTAAAATCAATTTTTTATTACATTTTTAGAAATATTAAAGTATGTATAGCTAACAAAATAATACAGAATATATATATATATATATATATTAAAACATATATATAATATATTAATGTTTACTTAAATTTTGTTTAATATTTACATTTTTGTAGAATTCAAAATTTTATTTTTTAATATATTATTTTTCATTCAAAAAAAGTCAATTTAAACAGCAATAATTTTTTTAGTATTGTTTAACTATAATTTTTTTTAAAAACTTATTTAATTATTTTGAAAAAAACAAAAAAAAACAATATTATATTTCATACAATTTAATTTTTTGATTTTTAACAAAAACAATGTAAAGTTATATATAAATATACATTGCATAAGACTTTCAATGAATTTACATTTTATTCAAGTTATTCAAAAAAATAAAATAAATTACAACAAATGTAAAAACTAAAAAGTAATTTACGGATAAATAATTTTTATACCAAAATGATAAATAATTTTCAACAGCTTTAAGGGTTATAAACAAAATATTGTGTAAATTATAAATGTTTATTATTATTTTTTATTAAAAAAACTAATTTATAAATAATTACTTTTTAAAATGTTGTAGATTTTATAATATTTAACTTTATATTATAAAATTTAATCTAAATACTTTAATGTCCGATTAGTTATTAATCTAATAGTTTTATATATAATAATTTAATAAATGATTTGTTAAATAAACTGTTTTATTGTATTTTATATTAATTGATTTTAGCTAAATAATTTATATAAAGCAATTATTACTTTACTATTAAATTAATGAATTTATGAAATAAAATAAATAATTAATTATTTTTTCTTATAAAACAATATTTATGTTTGTGAAAAATTTATTATATAATACATTGTAATATAAATTAAAAACTAAACACATAATCTTATACCATATTGTTTATACATTATGTAGTACTGTACTTGTAATTATATATATATAAATAGTAAATATAAAAAACAAGTTTTTGACAATTTTTTTTTATAAAAAATGATATGACACACACATATACAGACACACACACACACACACACACACACACACACACACACACACACACACACACACACACACACACACACACACACACACACACAATCACATATAAACATATGTTGCTCCCAAATGACATACTAGTAGTGAAAGTAGTAGTAATAGTAGTAGATATCCCTCGCGGATAAAAATCACATTAAAAACGATTGAATTTTTTTTAACAACTGAACAAAAAAATATTTTTTAAAAAATAAGATTTTTTTCTCTATATTTTTTTTGTCAAGAATTGATGTTTGTATGAAAACATAAATAATAATAACACAACTCTTTTATCTGATATGACTTAAGTGTTGTTTGTATGTTATGTTGTGTTTGTGTTGTGTTGTGTTTAGATGCTTAACAAATATGACACTCAATAATATATTACTGTCTGTCTATTGATGATGTCTATTGAATATATGATTTTATAAAGTGATTACTTTTATTTTCAATACTTCACTATTGCTTCAGGCATTGTCTAGACAGCTGCTGTCCAACAAAACAATAGTAAAACCACAAAATAAAAGTAAAATTGGTATTAAAAAAATAATTTATATATTTATATACAGAATATATATATATATATATATATATATATATATATATATATATATATATATATATATAGAGAGAGAGAGAGAGAGAGAGAGAGAGAGCATGTCATTTCTGAATCTGTTTATTACTATGAAATGCAAATAAATTTTTAGTTTAATATCCACACAATAAATAAATAAATACAGTAAAATTTTTAATATATTTAAAGTATTTTAAAACGAAATATTTGACAATAATTTATTTCAATATATTGAATTATATATTTAATATATTTAATTTATTTATATTTAAAGCAAAACACTATTTACCCAGTTCAAGTTGTATACTGTATAATAAATTTAATGTACAGTAAGATATAAGTTATATACAGTACAGTATATATATTATATAACTATAATAATTTTATTTTAATAATATTTACTGTACAAATATTATTATCATATTCAAAAAAGTAATCATTTGTAAATAAGATTATTATTTTCAAAGTTTTATATATGCTTTTAAATAAAATACAATAATAAACTATTCATATTAATTATCTTTATATTTATAATAATATAATATAATATTATTTGTTCAAAAATAGTTGAGTTATAATTTATAATTATAATCTATAAATACTATATATATAAACGATTATTATTATTAGTATTTAATACTTACAGTTTGTGTGTCTGATTGAGTGTCAGTTCTATATTAATGCCTAAAGCCTTATATAAAAGAAAAGTTTTTAACAGAGATTTTCTGGTGAAAAGCCACACAAAAAAAGATATAAAATTTATCTTAACTTTACTTAACATGAAGTGTCAAACAATTGAATTTAACAATGATTTATACACTTTGAGACCACTTTTTTGCCACAGATATATAATAATCTCTCTCTCTCTCTCTCACACACACACACTCACTAACGTATTGGGCATTTCATCTCACAATTAAAGGTGTATTTGTATTATATTGTCTTTTATAAACTTAAATTCATAGATATACAGAAAATAAAGTTATTTTTAGTTTAATGTTATTTATTTTTTTGCTTTTATTAGTCTTTTATGTTTTTTCTTTAGTCATTCATTTAAATTATGTGTTTCACACACTCACTCACTCACTCACTCACTCACTCACTCACTCACTAACTCACTCACTCACTCACTCACTCACTCACTCACTCACTCACTCACTCACTCACTCACTCACTCACTCACTCACTCACTCACTCACTCACTCACTCACTCACTCACTCACTCACTCACTCACTCACTCACTCACTCACTCACTCACTCACTCACTCACTCACTCACTCACTCACTCACTCACTCACTCGCTCACATACATATAATATAATTTTGTTTGACATATTAGATGACAATTGCTTTTAAAACTTTGTCTATTAATATAACTCTTATGTGAATATTTTAGATAATATTCTACTTTATATATGTTTTTAAAAAAATATTTATAACATTTTTCTATTTATGATTTTAGTGTTTATTTCTGTTTTATATAAAAAAAAAATTTAGAAAACTATTTGAAAAACAATGAAAAAGTAATAATGTATTATAAAAAAAACATTTTTAGCATATTTTATTATGAATTTTTATTTCTCTCAAATGCAACATTTTATACATTTACTGTATATTTATATTCAATTTATATTAATATATAATTTTTATTTTATTAGCTTAGTCACATAAACGTTTATATATATATAAAATATAATATTACTTAAGATTTTTTGTGACAATAAAAATAAAAAACAATAATTTATAGCATACACTCATACAACACACACAAATACATACCAACAAAACAAAAACAAATGTTATTTAATTAATTATTAAGTAAATTATTAGACAATAAATTAAATAAAAAAACATAAAACAAAACTAAAACAATAAACTAATGTTTGAAGAAATTTTATTGTATAAAAAATATATTTATATTATATATTATATGTACGTTAAATGTTGAGCTCAAACCTAAAATTAGTGGACTCCCAGTGACATATATATACTGTATAGTTATATAATATATATATATATATATATATATATGTTTCTTATCTTAGTATTGTTGTTGTTGTTGTTAGTATTGTTGACTAACATTATAATGGATAGCATTTTCTAATCTTTGGCCAAAAAAACATAAATATAAATGTAGTTTATGGTGAAAAAATGTCTACAATTTTTTCATTATTATTATTATTATTATTTGATTCACAAACATACTTATATATTGTATATATAAATATTTCTCTGTATTGTTTATAATGCATTTAGACTTGTATATATATATGTGTGTGTGTATGTATGTATGTCTGTATTATATTATATACAGTAATATAAATATTATATACAGTATAATAATCTGTATAATATTTTTAGGACATCGAGATTATTTAGCTGACAAAATAACTATTACCCGAAAATAAAATCATTAAATTATGTACTTTTTATATGTTTGTTGTACAATATATTTGCTGTTAATAGTTTATGGATGAAAAATATATAAAGCAAATATTTTCAATTAGATGAAATAATTCATCAAAAAATATATTTATAATAAATATTTGTTTAAAAATATTTATTAAATGATAGTTTAATGGTTTTATAATAATTGTAGTACAGTATGATAAATATCATACTATGTATATCTATTATATTAATAGTTTGTAGTAAATATAAATTGATATAAAGTTTATGTATATAAAATATTTTTTTTAATAATTAATTTTTGTAAAATTTGTATAATAATATTATTATATTATTTTTTTTAATAATAAGTAAAAATTATTAAAATTGCAATAGATAATTGAATATATATATATATATAAATTTTGTTTATGTGATTAAACAATACACTGATAAATCAATAATAAATAATTTTAGAGTTTACTATTTTAAATATAAAACTCATAGATTATTTTTTGACAACTAAACTTCAAAAAAATTTTAACATTTTTTCTGGTTTTTTTTTGTTTTTTTACATAAATCACAATCAAAATTGGAGATAATATTAGAGACTAAGCAATATATAGGCAATATATAGACTAAAAATCTAAAATCGTAAAAAATTCATAAATATTTGATATACAGAGAGAGAAAAAAAAATTTTTTTCTATTACTAAATTTCTAAAGTATCAATTTTATTTAATATAATTTTTTTTGTTAAATTTACTTTATTTTACTATAAATATAATACAATATATATAATTTGTTTTTATATTATTGATATACTCGTTTGTTTTATATAGTATGCATACAATTGAATCGTGGTATATTTACATTGGTATCGCCTATGACTGGACCATCATATGAGACACTAGTATCATATTCAAATACGTTCCAGGTTAATTTTGTTATTTATTTATTTATTTACAAACATTTATTAATTAACATTAGTGTAAATAAATAAATATAATAATATTTTAATTATTTTGTTTATTATTATTATTATTATTATTATTTTTAGATGCCTTTTATACACCCGGGCTTTTCGCAGACCTCCCATTTTCGGCCGGCACTGTATGGCATATCATTGAGACCCCGGTATTTGCCGGCCATTATCGATGTTATCAAATATTATGGTTGGAGAGGTATCATCTATTTGTACGACTCAGATGAAGGTATGTTTTTGTGAAAATGATATACAAAAAATATATATATTTAATAATTATTAATATTATTGTTTATTAATAATCAAAGATATTGTAGTAAAAAATTTTGATATATTTATTAAACAAAGATTTGATATTAATATACTAATTATTATTATTTGCATAATTATTTTTTTAAATGTTTACATTTTGTTGTTGTTGTTGGTTAAATATAATTAAATTTTCTAACACTTATTAATAATATATATATTTTTAATAATATAATAAATAAATTGATAAAAAAGTTTTACTAATCAGTTAATAAGATTTAATTATGAATCTATTTAAGGAAAATAAATTGAATGCATAAATTAATTAATTGATTAATAAATGTTTATATTAATTAAGAAAAATTTGAATATATTAATATATAAGTATTAATGATTAAATATAATTATCAAAAAAAATATTAATAATACAAAACTTTCATAATAAGAATATTCTGGTATACTATTAATATTAATAAACTAACACAAAAATATAATAATAATAATAATAATAAAATTATTAAAGAAAGGGCTCAACAAACAAAAAATATTTTTATGTCGTGTCGGAGACAATATACAGTATTCACCCGCTATTTAATATGTGTGTCCTTTCTATTGTTATTATCATTTATTTATTTATGCTTATCCTTTATATTAAATATAACAGCATTTACTGTACTATACTTAGGGGAATCTACAGTACAATATATATTTATACTGTATTAAATATTGTACTCTAATTATATGATTTATTAATTGAATATATATTTTTTAAAATTATGAAAAATATATTATCAATTTAAACTATTATTTAATTACAGTTATTTAATAATTATATTAAGACAATTGAAATATATTTTTAAAAAAATTATAATTAAAATGTTTATTAATTAAATAACTTGTAATTTGAATGTATAATTATATTGTTGTTGATTTTTAAATAAGACTCTAGTTTTGTATGACATTTAAAATATATATATATATAATATATATATATATTACTGTATATATGACGACATTTTTTCCATTAATAAGTCAATGATTTAAAGATAAATCTAAGAGAAAGGGAGAACGGGTTAGTAAATGATTGATAAGTGAGAGAAAGAGAGAGAGAGAGAGAGAGAGAGAGAGAGAGAGAGAGAGAGTTATCGTTGATTGTTTAGAGGCACCGGATTTTTGGCTCAATAAAAAACCATAACATCTCTTATATTCATAACTTATATATTATATATTAAATACGGTATATAATATTATATAAATAATATGCCATCAATCATCATATTTGTTGGTACAATATATTATTAATCGCTCATATATTTATATATATATATTACATATACTTTACATATGATATACTAAGATATAACTAAAAGATTAATGAAATTACATATTTTTTGATGTCCTCAAAAATCTTCAATACAGTACTCTAATAACATTTTACATAAATTAAAAATATTAATAATAATAAATTATTTAAATGAAATGTAAATTATTGTAATATTTATACTGTATATACAACATCTGTAATAATTTATTAATTATTATACAAAAGTGTATCATTTGAAAAAAATTAAATTATTATAGTTTATTAGCAATTGTAAATTATATATACCGTACTCTAAACTCATGTATACAATATTAGCACTTTAAACAAATATATAGTATTTTGAGTAAAAATTAATACAATTAATAAATTTTAAAAATTATTTGAGTTACTAATTAATTTATTATAAACTTAATAATATATGTTATACGCCTAATAGGTTGAATAAAAATTTAAATTTCTAAATATTAAAATAATTTTTCTATATATAAATGTATAGTAAAGTATATTTTTAAAGTATTTTTCAAACATTTCTGAAAGCATTAGTATTTTATTTGTTTTATTTTTTATAATATTGTAATTTTAGTTTATATTATTGGCAAATGAGACGTAAAATTATTTATTATATTGTTTTGTTGTTATTATTATTGTTTTTGTTTTAGATTTAGCAAATAAAAAATGATTTTCAACCAGGATTTACTTTTAAATCTTAAATATAATATAAAAATATCAATAATATATTTATATATAATATATATATATAAGTATAGACTTGTTTGCTTTATATAATATTGTATACGATAAAAGTTATATGGTATATAATATCCACAAAAAAAATTATTACAGTTATGTATCAGGTTTTATAACTTATGGTTGACATAAAATGTTTTTTTAAAGTTATAAATTGATTTTTTCTGTTTATGTTTTTATACTAATGTATTATAAAATAAAATAATAATATTTGTGGTCAACAATACTAAAATGTATATATCATATATACGTATATCTAATATACTAATAAATATGTTATGAAAAGTCTATTATATTTTTGTTTGACAAAAATAGCTAAAAATATTGCATAAAAAATTTTGGGTCATATAATATACGTTTTCTTTAATAAATTTATTTTTTATTATATAATATAATATATTATTATTATTATTATTATGATAATATATAAATATAAATTCCAATATATTATATTATTAATATGTTTTTCCTATACTAATATAAGATCTAATAATTATTTATGTATTATATCATATTTATATACATATATATATATATATCATAAATATTTTGATGAGTGCAAGAAAATAAATATTAATATTATCTTATTATCACTACTATTATTATTATAGAAATAGCAATTCATTATTACATAATAATGTTTAATAATCAACATATTTTTATTATGTGTAATATTATATTAAACTAAACTATCCATCAGTTTATACAGTATGTCTCAACTATATAATAATGTGTCCTCAAAATCATATTATTAATTTAAATTATTAGTAAATATAAATAATTTTTTTTGGCTACTTTAGTTTTTTTATACATAATAATTAATAGTTTAACTTTCTTTAAAATTATTAAATGGTTTATAATAAAATAATAAATAGTTAGTTATATTAATTTTACTATTAAGTAATAGTGATGGAGAAAATTTTAACTAAAAAATATTAATAAATAATAAAAATGAATTTAAATGTTTTTATGCAAAATTTTAAGACATAGAAAAAAACAAAATTTTAGATAAAATTTTTTTAACATAAAGATTGAAGTTTTAATTCAAAAATTAAATTAAGATATTATTTTAGTATAACTATTAGTTTTTTTTAAAAATGATAAAGAAATGAAAAATTATATAAAAAAATACATACAATAAACGATTTTTTCTACTCTATTTGCACACAATAGTACTGTATGTTTGAAAATATTTTATATAAAAAATAGAAAATAAAGACATAATATACTATATATATATATATATATATATATATATATATGATATTATTATATAATAAAGTGTATGATATATTGTTTTGTTTAAGTGATACTACTGTGATATAAGTGATTTAATGCGGAAAAACTTTATATATAAAGAGAGAGAGAGAGAGAGAGAGAGAGAAAATTCAATGAAAATATATATTTCTTTGTGTAAAAAACCGACCGATGATTGAGTGGGAACGGGAATCTGTGGGATATTATTTTTGTTAAATAAAATATAATATATATATACTGTATATATATATATCATTTATCTCAAAAATACAGGTAAGTATGTGTATTATTATTATTACAATCTATTTGTTATTAATGTACAGTTATTTTATCTTATTTTATATAATATAAAAAAGCTACATATAAGATATTAAACAAAATATTTTATTATTATTATTTTACATACATTATGTTTATAAATATTGTATCTATGTACTATTTTAAAAATTTATATATAAAAATCATTTTCTATTTATACTTTTATAAAATAAATATATATATATTATACAGTATACAATATATTTTATAGTTATTGTACTTTATTTTAAAAAATAGGCAATAAATTTAATAAATTTATTAGAAAATATAATAAATTTTATATTGTGATATATTTAAGTTAAATAAATAAATTTGTTAGCGCAACACAAACACACTTTAAATATCATAAAAAATTAATTTAATTTTAAAAATCTTATTATATTTATTTTTATTATTGTTGTGCTATCCTATAAAGTCAATTGTTATTATTATTATTATTATTATTATTATATTTTTATCATTGTACATTTACTGTATTTTATTTTGGTACTATACAATCTTTATGTATTATTCATCGATAAAAAACTATATTATAATATAATATAAAAATTTATTTTTGAGCTATAATATAAAAAATTGATTTAACTATAGTTTTTTATATGAAAAATAATTTTGTTTTTCAGATGAAATTTTTCGTTAGAGAGAGAGAGAGAGAGAGAAAATTTAATTTTCAATGATTGCAACGATTGGGAGGTTTTATATATATATATATATATTTGAACCGATAAGCAATATATTTCACTAATAAATAATATGATATAATATACAGTAAAAAAAGATAAATATATTGTATGATACTATCGTATCTCACATTATGTAATATACTATATATATTAAAATACAGTATATATTTAGAAAATCTAATAATATAAGAAATCTATATTCTTTAAGGTTATACTATATATATATATATACAGTACATGTATTACAATATATTTATATTTATATATATATTGTTTGAATGTAGAAAAAACTTATTTTTTTCTATCATTCATTGCCTCAATTCTTATGTTTATTATTAGGATTGCATTTATTTTTATTGCCGCACGAATTCTATTAGCTATAATTGTGTTGCAATTGCCTTAATATTAATCTCTCTCTCTCTCTCTCTCTCTCTCTCTCTCTCTCTCTCTCTCTCTCTCTCTCTCTCTCTCTCTCTCTCTCTCTCTCATTCACCCACTCACCCACTCGTCCACTATTTGACTCTTAACACTTTTTTGTTGTTGGTTTACGTTAGATCTACATCATCAGCACAATATGCTCACGTATATAATATATATACATGTATATCGTAATAACTGATTTTTTTATATATAAATATATATATATATATAATTACTATCTATAGTAATGCACATATATAATAATCATACATGAATATTGCACATACACATTAGTATGTGCAATATAAAAATCATCATAATTTTGCTTACAATTCATAAAAATAAGTAAGCATTATAGATATGGAATAAAATATTTTATTTTATTTTTTACATAATGTAACAATATAAAATTTTAATAACTTACTGATCATATTATATTTTATAACATATAAAAACATATCTGAATACTAAAAGAATGTTTAACAAAATTGTAAGTTAAAATACAAATTATTATTATAAATCACATATTTAATTATAATATATTATATAATATATTATTTATATTAGAAAATTAAGTTTCTAATTTATCATTGACATAAATCATAATTAAATTTTATTTAAATAAAATAAATTTGTTTAATTATAATAATTACATTTATCTTATAAGTATTAAAACAAGTTTTAATGTTAACTTTATTTAATAATAATAATAATACTATGCTTTTCATACATAAATGATTTTAATAATAATAACTTTTGCTAAATATAATATTAAAGACGTGTATACACACAGAAAATTGTTATTACATTGTCTAAGAAGTTATAGACAATCATAATAATGATAATAATAATAATTTAATTATTAAATTTTATTTATACTACAATATATAAAAGTAATATATAATAACATTAGTTGTGTATTATTATTATTATATTAAAGATTTGCTTTTATTTATCTTTCTATCTTTCTTTTATCTCTCTTTCTCTCTTTATTTCTATGTTTCACTCAATTATTTAGTTATTTATTTTATTTATTCACTCCATCACTAAATTCCTATTCACTACTAATTGTTACATTAATCTATGTTGTATTAATCTGTAAAGAAAATAAAGACAAAATAAAATAACTTAAATAACATACTATTTATATTATATGGTATTATTGTACAGTCAGTACGGCCTTTAAATGTATAACAACATTACAATGTTATGAGCATTTCAACATAAATTAATGAATAATTAATCAAGCAATATGTGTGTGTGTGTATGTATGTGTGTGTGTATGTATGTGTGTGTGTATGTATGTGTGTGTGTATGTTTGTGTGTATTATATGTGTATATATGTGAGTTTATGTATGTGTGTGTGTATAAGTATGTGTGTGTGTGTATATGTGTGTATATATGTGTGTTTATGTATGTGTGTATATGTGTGTATGTGTGTATGTGTGTATGTGTGTATGTGTGTATGTGTGTATGTGTGTATGTGTGTATGTGTGTATGTGTGTATGTGTGTATGTGTGTATGTGTGTATGTGTGTATGTGTGTGTATGTGTGTATATGTGTGTATATGTGTGTGTGTGTGTGTGTGTGTGTGTGTGTGTGTGTGTGTGTGTGTGTGTGTGTGTGAGTGTGAGTGTATGTGTGTATTAGACTTATTATCATTATTATTTAATTCCCAAATTAGCGCATTGTCAATAGATTAATACTGTTTTTTTTGTTGGTAATCTATAAGTTAAAATTATAATATAAAACTAACAGAAAAATGCTAAACTATTATTATTTTTCTCTATACTATACTAATCTAAATTATCTAAAATAGTGATTTTTTTAGATTACAATGTATATTATATGAAATACTGTACATTTATAATATATGCACTTTCATTTGACTATATAACATAATTACTTTTTTTTGCTAATTAGTTTCAATTTTGACTTTTTAGTTGCAAATTATTAACTTTTAAAAAAAAACTTTTATAGTATATATAAATACAAGATTTTAATTTAATATTATAATAATTAGTAATTTAATAATCAAAAAACAAAAACAAAAAACATATTATTATTATTGACTATTCATAACTCATTGGTGGGACAGGCCTACTAAAACTACAGCATCTGTTTTCGTTGGTCGACACCAATCGTACGCTAGAGCTTCGGGCAGTCAAACGGTTTATTACGGTCGACGAGGCCAACAACTACCTGCGCGACATTGAATTTAACAATACTTATGATAAAAAATATGTAATCCTGGAGTGCGATGCACTTACAGCCAAATCTATAATCATAAATCATGTCCGGGATATCTATATGGGCAAAAGGAACTTCCATTTTTTGCTAACCTCACTGGTTATGGATGACTATCTGAATGAAAAAGTCTCGGAATTTGGTGCCGTAAATATAACTGGGTTTCGTATACTCAAACCGGCCACTCAAGAGTTTAGACAATTTTTCAATCATTGGCGCAAACAGTCGGATGGCAGACAACAACAACAACAGCAGCAGCGCCGGGAACCGCCTTATGATGATAATAGGAAGGTGCCAGCAATCATATCAGTGAGTATTTCAGTTAAATGTTTATTACCTGTAATTTTATTTTATACTTAGAGTATAGAATATTTCAATTTTGTTTTTTTGAATTATATTAATAAATATAATTTATATTTAATATTGTAAATTCTATGAATTAATTATTATTGCCAACTAATTAATAGATATATTTACATTACTATAATTTTACTAGTATTTTATTTTATACTATTGTAAGTTACAATTTGTAACTCAAGTACAGTATATATAATATATATTATACTGTCTATACCTATATATAGTACATGTATACAGTATAAAACTAATAAGCTTATCTACTTTGTAGTTTAATATGGTATATAACTTATACAGTATAAAATAATAACATCTGTAGTAGTATTAATAGTAGTACTAATAGTTGTAGTATAAATATATATATATAAAATAACTAATTTATATTATTGTAGTTTATATAGATTTAATAAGTTTACCAAATAATGTCTTTTTTTTTAAAAAAAACTTACATTTTTTATTAAATAATTAAAATATACTTATTTTTATTTTTGGTGCATACCATCCTTGTTGATTAAAATGCTGGATAATATAAATTTATATATTGTATATATATATATATATGATATAAAACTAGGCCGATGCTGCCATGATGTATGACGGTGCTAAAGTATTGCTGGACACCTATGAGCGCCTGTATAGCCGACACGCGGACACGTTTCGCAGCAACTATCGACGCGGGGAAATGTATAACAGTGGATATAAGGGTATCGACTGTAGGACTGAGCCTATTGTCAAATGGGAACATGGCGACAATGTTGCCCGATTTATGCGAAAGGTACAGTGTGTGTATTTTCTAATGGGAGGGTTGGGTGGTTGGGGAGGGGTAATAACAAATAGTTTTATTTAAATAAAAAAATAATAATAAAATTATCTTTATTAGACAAATATCAATGGACTGACCGGTGTATTAGAGTTCGATGAACAGGGATATCGGCAAAACTTTTCGGTAGATGTCGTCGAGATGACCATCAATAGCGAAATGGCAAAGGTTTGTCCATTTAAAACAATTATTTATTATTAGAAATAATTTTTTTTTCTAAAAATATGTTTATATGTATAGATAGCACAGTGGACTCAGGAGAAAGGCTTGACAATAGTTCCGGCCAAATATCATCGGGTATTACAGGAAAAGACAAAATTTGATAACAAAACATATATTGTGACATCAATTTTGGTATTAAAAATATTTATACTATATATATATAATTATATAAATAATGTATACAATTCTAACATAACTGTCCCATTTTGTTGTTGTTGTTGTTATCCCTGCTATATATATATACACACACATAGGAGGAACCGTATCTAATGATGAAATCAGAGGAAACGGGCGAAACACTGAAAGGCAACGATCGCTTTGAGGGCTACAGTAAAGATTTAGCCGATTTGATTGCCAATAATTTGCAAATCGGTTACGAACTTCGGTTGGTTAAAGATGGAAAGTATGGCAGTCTGGATGTCATCTCTCATCACGGCTGGAACGGTATGGTCGGCGAACTTATCAGACATGTATGTATAGACACTAATATAAACATAACTGTTTAGAAATAATTGTTTTATTTAAAAACAACAAAACAAAAATCTACTAGTTTTTTTACAAAATTAACCATGCTAAAAATACTATACTACTACTACTAATAATAATAATAGGAAGCTGATATGGCTATAGCACCGTTAACAATTACCAGTGCCCGGGAACGGGTCATCGATTTTACCAAACCGTTTATGTCATTAGGTATATCCATAATGATTAAGAAACCGGTAAAAAAGAACCCGGGTATATTTTCGTTTATGAATCCATTGTCAAGCGAAATATGGATGTGTGTTATACTATCATATGTCGGTGTATCGGTTGTACTGTTTCTGGTTTCAAGATTTTCACCGAAAGAGTGGCGCTATGAGGACACCCTAATGGGTCCACACGTTAGCAATGATTTCTCATTTTATAATTCCCTATGGTTTTCGTTGGGCGCCATTATGTCGCAGGGATGTGATGTCTGTCCTCGGTATGTACAGTCTATTTGTTTTGTTTAACTACTACTACTGTATATGTGTTTGTTTTTAATTTGATTTTGATTTTTTTTGAATTGCAAACTGTAAAATATAAATTTCAAATAATAAGTAAAATATTGTCGACCAGATGTCGACAGTTATGCACTTTAATCGACACTAATATATCGTATATAAGATAACGTAATTGTATCGTATTTTTCAGTTATTATAAATCAATCGTTTTTGTGTAATATTAAAATAAACATTAATTTTATTAATCGTTTCGTTTTTATTACGCAATTGTCGGCTAACTGGCCGACATTCTGGCGCAGTCGGTAAAATAACTCATCGTCACGACAGTCATCGATAATATCGTATCAACCGTCATGCCGTACACATACAGCACCCGCAGCCGTACCCGAGCGGTAGGCACACCGAAACCACGTGTTAGTCGTCGCATAGGAGCTAACGATCACTCGAAAAGCGGTAAGTATCCGGTATCTGGAGTCAGCGACACCGATGTCGAGACCATCTCACTGGTCTCTCGGATGTCCACATCCAACCGTCCGATACGACCACCGCAACCACCGATCAAACAGAGCTTAAGCGCTAACACTCGACACACATCTCACTCGGCATTGGTACGAAACAATATCGATGACACACCCGCTATACCGACTGTATATCAACCAATCATTGGTCTGGTATGCAATAAATATAGCGGTCCCGACCCGAACATCACCATCGAAGAATGGTTACGTATGTTTTCGTTGCTCACCATCGATGTCAACGATGACAAAGAAAAACTTAAAGTATTCGCCCGCCACCTGTCCGGAGAAGCGCTCTCATGGATGGCCGAGGAAATCGAGCCGAACTGGCACACCATGACCTGGAATCGGTGCCGAGATCTCATGATTTCCCGATTCAGTCGCAAATCAACGAACCCTTTAGTCGAAGCAATTCATCGACAACTCAACCAAAATGAGTTCGTCATCGACTACTACAACGATATGAGACGACTGACACAACAGGCCGGTCTCAACGACATCAACGCCGTCGCTTTGCTTACCGACGGTATGCCCGATAGTTATCGACATATATTAGGCGCGTCTCGCTTGAAGACACCTCAGGACTGGTATGAGGTCGCCATCAATATCGAGTCCGCAAAAATAAAGCGCAAACATTCACGACATAACACTGGTCGTAATCAAGACGACAGTTATACCGAAAGCTCATCTGAGAGCTCATCACCCGAAGACTACACGATTTGCGTTCAAGTAATACCACATATCGATTCTCATATCAATACAATTAACGATGCAAACGAATGCAAACAACCGATTCGGTCGACACCTAAACTCGAATCTACTACCGAAACATGTCGTCCTATTGAGACAACGACTATCCCTAACATTGTTATGGCGACAGACAGCGTCACATTTGGACAAGAAATCGCCGACACCACCGATAAATACATAGACAATACGGTATTCGTCGAAACAACGCCTAACACACTACAAGATCGCCGAATGTTATCGATAAATCACGAGATGCTATCAAATTCGCAATATTTATCGGATATCAAATCGTTTGTGACTACCGATAATCGACGTAACGACATGTCGTTCACGCCGTCAAATCGTTTGGTCACTAATCGCCATCAATCACAACAACAACATCGAAGTCATCGCATTATGAACCGATTCTCAACGACGCCCATCAATCCATCAGCGGATGTTAACGTTTCAAGTGTTCATAGACCGTCCATTTGGCCGTACAAATTGGCAAACATTCACCCGATACGTCCGCACCGTATAGACGCTGGCCTTCGCGGTCGGGGAATTGTCGACCAGATGTCGACAGTTATGCACTTTAATCGACACTAATATATCGTATATAAGATAACGTAATTGTATCGTATTTTTCAGTTATTATAAATCAATCGTTTTTGTGTAATATTAAAATAAACATTAATTTTATTAATCGTTTCGTTTTTATTACGCAATTGTCGGCTAACTGGCCGACAATATAAATAATTTTTGTAGTATTAATTATGATTGTGATCTACGATTGATTGATTAGGATTTTTAAAAAATATTTTTTTATATATTTTAAATTAGATATTATTGCTATACTAATAGCCTTTACCTAAAGTTTTTTTTTGTTTAATTAATAGTATTAATTATTATTAATATTATTATTATTATATAAAATATAAAATATTAAATTTAATAAAATTATTATTTTTAATTACTAATTATTGCAAACAACATTATTCATTATAAACTTTAAATACTACATATTTTCTACATATTTGAATATTTTTTATACATTATAATAGTATTATTGTTAATTGAAACTTAGTTATCAAAAAATAAATAAACTTAGTTTCAATAAATTTACATAAAATTAATTTTATTTTGAATAATCTAGATCAGTTCCGGGTCGTATTGTTGGCAGTGTTTGGTGGTTTTTTACCCTGATACTATTATCATCATATACAGCTAATTTGGCCGCTTTTCTAACAGTAAGTCATCATGATAAAAAAACAACAACAAAATATAATTATTATTATTATTTATAAAAATTTTTACTGTATATATTTTTTTAACAAATACAATAGAAACTATGTTTATAAAACACAATTAAACTTAAACATTATAATAATAATTATTATTATTTTTAATAAAAATAACTAACCTATAGGTTGAACGTATGGTTACCCCTATTAATTCGGCCGATGATTTGGCCAAACAAACAGAGGTCGAGTACGGTGTACTAAAACATGGATCAACTATGGATTTTTTTAGGGTTAGTATTTTACATTATTCATACTAATTATTAGTTTTTTTTCTAAATAATTTTAATTTATTTAAAAAATAAAATTAAATCTAGAGATCAAAAATAGCTGTCCATCAGAGAATGTGGGAGTTTATGAGTTCCAAACAAAATGTTTTTGTCAATTCATCAAAGGAAGGCATACGTAGGGTTCGGGAGTCAAAAGGAAAATATGCTTTCCTTATAGAGAGCACTCAAAATGATTACGTGAATGAAAGGTATTTTTGTGATTATTTTTTATTGTTAGAAAAATTTTCTAATTATTTTTTTTGACACTAATCATTACTACAAGTAATTATAGTAACAAATAGTTAAATTATTTTGAGTTTATTTTTAATATATTCTAAACTATAGATAAATAAACTAATATATAGATTAATAAAAAAACTATAAATAACAAAATAATGATATGAAATAAGTTTTTAAATTGTAATAATGTAATTATGTATTAAAAAAAATATTTAGTAAAAATATTAGACATTTGAATCTTAGATTAGAAATCATAGACTCTTCTAAAAATTTATAATAACTTTAAATTATTTAATTGATTTTACTAACATATATTATAATTTTTAATTTATTACAAATATATATTTTATAAAAAAATTTTAAGATTAATTTATTATATAATTTTTTGATTAGATATCCATGTGACACTATGAAAGTGGGACGCAATCTAGGTAACTTTTTTAATATTAACAAATGTAAAATTAATATATTTATAAATAAAATGATTAATTTATATATATATTAGATGCAAAAGGTTATGGTGTGGCCACACCATTGGGTTCATCGATAAGGTAATTACAATAAAAAAAACTTTTAATTTTAAAAAATATATATTTAATAATAATACTATTATTTATAATAATTTTTTTTTAATAAACAGAGACTCGTTAAATTTAGCAGTGTTATTTCTAAAAGAAAATGGCGATTTGACTAAACTAGAAAATAAATGGTGGTTCGATAGGAGTGAGTGTAAAATTAGAGAGAAAAAGGTACATAGATAATTTAATATATATATATATAAAGTTATATTATTATTATTATCTTTGTTAAAATTTTAATTTTTAAAAAATATTTTTTTTTTGCAAACAGGATGCTAACCAAAGCGAGCTAACATTGGATAATGTAGCCGGTTGCTTTTACATACTAATTGGTGGCCTAATATTGGCAATGTTGGTTGCGCTAGTTGAATTTGTGCTCAAATCCAACATGGAAGCCAAACGCAACAATGTACTTTTATTAATTTTATTTTTTTGTTAAATGATGACAAAAATAATTGCATTAATATTAAAAATGCTTTTTAAATAAATTTATATATGTTGTTTTTTGTTGTTGTTTCCTAAATGATCCCAGATCAGTTTTATGGAAGCCATACAAACAAATCTTCAAATGTCGATCACTGGCGCCAATCATTTTGCTCAACGAGTAAATTAATTATATATAAAAAATTAATTATAAAAATCTTAATTTTTATTAAAAAATACTTTTTTTTAATAATAAATATTTTTTTTTTAGTTTTCAACCGACTCATTTCAGACGCCAACATAACCTACTTATACAATACAAATAATTTTATGGAACAATCATTAATATATATATATATAATTTAATTAAATATTTGTTTAAATTAACATTGATACTTTAAAAATATCATAAAATATATCACTATGGTTTACTAATTTCTCTAATACATTCAAAATATTTGTTAATTAATTTTTTTTTAAAAATCAATGTATATAATTCAATCTATAAATATATTACACAAAATGCAATAAATATGTGTATAAAAAGCAATATAATAATAATAATAATATAATACTGTATATTAATTAGTGTAATTCAAATTGAATTTGTAAAAAACAAATATAAAATTATACTAAAATTCTGCACCCATTACAATGTTGTTAATTAATTTTTTGTATATATATATCAATGCTAATGTATGATAATGTTAACAATTGTGTTAAAATTTTCAAAATACAATTTTATTATTTAATTAGCAAAAAATTAATTATAAATTGTAATAATAATAATAAATGTTGTAATTATTAATAATTAGACAAAAACACAAATTTAATTTACAACTTTTTATTATAATAATTTTGAAATATTAAAAACTAACAATAATTAAATATATATTTTTTAGATACTTGTTTATCTAAAAGATACATATTATGAATATTTAATAAAATAGTTTAATTAAAAAATTTATTTATTTTTTGAGTTATACATTTTTATGATAATATTATTAATATTAATTTAATATCTGTAAATCATATATATCAAATAATAATTTATTTGTAAATGTAATTTGTTTATCAATATATCAATATTCATTATACATTTATTACTTCAAAAAAATAAATAAATAATAAGTTGATTTTTATAGATTTATATTATAAATATTTGTAAAAAGTTTATAAAATACTAATCTAACTATAAAACTGAAATAAAACAATAATTTATTTTATTTTATTATTTGTATAATATATATATATTTGAATCAATATTTTTTGTTGTTATTATAATAAAAATAAAACATTAATATAAACTAATTAATAATTATTTAATTTCTCTATAAAGTAGATTAATATTTTGATGTTTGTAATAATATGACCGAATAGTTCAATATAAATGTAAATATCTATTTAAAAAAAATTGAATGTTTAATTAGTTTTGTTAATTGTCAAAAAAAGCAAATTATTTTAATAATTTTAAAATAATATTTACCGCAATAAGTGGTGATTTATTTAATTTAGCGAAACCACCGATAGTTAGACATAAACTGTCCGTATTTGCCATCACTTGCTTACAGATCAACCATTGTTTGTGTTCATTATCTGTTAGTCGACGGCTTACCAGTGAATCCAATAGATCGTTAAGTTTGTGAGCCCTGTCCTCAATAGCACCGCATATAATACAAGACATCAATAGTTCACAAACCGATACAATAGCCACAAACAAATAGATATTCAATTGTGATCTAACATAATCTGTATGTCTGTATAATGTAATGCCATAAATAGCGGACATTATTACGGCAATGGAGCGCAATATTAATAATGTAATTAACCATGATAAATTTCTATTAATAATACTAAATATTTGTTTAGTTTTATCAACAAATTTAATCAATTGTTTTAGTTTTACTGTTAAATCATATAATGAATTTTCTAATGAATTAAACAAAAAAAATAATAAAAATTATGATAACATATTAAATATTTTTTTAAAATATATTTTTTCATAATTTAAAAAGTATTATATTACTTACTTAATTTTAGTTGTCTATGGTTATCAAGGTCCACAATTAGACAATCATATTGATCGCAATTGTATTGAGCAATCAACCAAAATAGTATTGGATGTACACTTAGTTGTGTAAATGTTATACAAAAAACAAATATTTCTAATATTTTAATAGCATTATAATCAATGATAGCACATATTGTGACAATTAAAATAACAATAAAATATAGTGTGTAGAATAAAATTAGCATGATCATTTTAATTGACAAATTACAATTGTTATGACATTTGGCATAATTATCAATTTTGATTAGTTTGTTAAATTGGTTGCATAGTGTAAATAATTTGAAATTACAATGATACAATACATATAGATTGTGTAGGCAATGTAATAGATTTGTTAACAAAAATATACAATTATAAATAGTGCTATGAGAAAAGTTATCATGCACAAATTGATTGTATTGTACTAAACATAATGCAATGAAATAAAGAGCATAGAATATATAGCCATAAAATTGCCATAGTTTATTTTGGCTTAATCTAGCATGATGAGTTTTGCTAAATTTTATAACAAGTCCACCAAATGTTACACCACATAGTCGATAGAGATATATAAAAGTTAGCATGGTTAATTTGATAGTTTTAGAGTTTATTAACACCATTATTCAAAAAAATATTTTACTTAAAAATGTTTTAATAAAATAACAATTTTATAATATTTTTTATTTTTAAATAAATATTAATTATTTTTATTTAGTAAACAATACTTATAAAAATTATCAAATATTTTTTTGTTTTATTTTTATCTAATATATTTTTCTTGGTTAATCTATTTATAAATTTATTAATATTGTAATGTAAACATTGCTAAATAAATATTTATTATGTTTTTTTATTATTAAAAATGTTTATTTTATCAACTAATATTTTTTTTATTTGAAGTATAATTAAAATATTTCTAACATTAAATAATATATAATGCAATTAATGCACAACAAATAAACATTTTTTTGAAAATATTTATATTATGTAAACAAAAAATAATTTTTTTTAATTATTTTACAATAAGTTATTAATATGATATTATAAAATAAAGCTATAGATAATTATTAGTAAATAATACTGTAATTATTATAATAAAAATAATACAAAATAATACAAAATAATTATCAAATTAATTTGTCATCAAATTATTTAATGTTTGTTATAAAAAATTATTTTAAAGTTAAAAATTTTATTTAAATATATAAATATTATTGTAACAGAATAAGTAAAAAGTTAGCATGAACAATTTGCTAATTGTTTCTTATTATAAAAATAAAAATTTATACTTTATAATGCATGATAATTAATTATTTTTCAATTTTTATATAGATTAATTTTTTGATGTTTGTATTAATATGACTGAATAGTTCAACACAAATGTTAATATCTGTTTCAATAACAATAACAAAATTATTAAAAAATTATTTTAAAAATATTATTGAAAATATAATAAAAATATTTACCCCAATAAGTGTTGATTTATTCAATTTAGCGAAACCACCGATAGTTAAATACAAACTATTAGTATTTGCCATCACTTGCTTACAGACCAACCATTGTTTGTGTTCATTATCTCTTAGCCCACGGCTTACCAATGAATCCAATAGATCATTAAGTTTGTGAACCCTGTCCTCAATAGCACCGCATATTAAACATGACATCAATATCTCCATAATCGATACAATTGTAATAAACACATAATTATTTAGTTGTGTCCTAATATAATCTATATGTATGTATACTATAATACCATATATGCCGTTCATTATAACAATAATTGAACGCAATATTAAAATTGTAATTAACCATGATAGATTATCATTGATTCTACTAAATATTTGTTTAGTTTTATCAATAATATTAAGTAATTGTTTTAGTTTTCTAGTCATATCATATAATGAATTTTCTAGATTACATAGATTAAAATAATAGATAACATATTAGATATTTAAAAATTTTTAATTATTAATATTAATTATATTACTTACTTAATTTTAGTTGTATATGATTATCAAGGTCTATAATAAGACAATCATATAGATCGCAATTGTATTGTGTAATCAACCAATAGAGTATTGGATGTACACTTAATTGTATAAATGTTATATTAAAATGTATAACATGTATAACTTTTTGAAATGTTTGACTAATATAACTGTCCACTACTAATCCCATTATTGACATTAATAAAATGCCCATAATATATAATGTTGAAAATAATATTAGCATGATTAATTTAATTGAAAATTTAGTGCATTTACTATGGATATCAATTTTAATTAACTTATTAAATACAGTGCACAGTGTAAATAATTTAAAATTACAATGATACAATAAGTATAGATTGTGTAGACAATGCAATAGATTTGTCAACAAAAACATACAATTATAAATAGTGCTATTGGTAATGTGAAAAAAATTATCATGCACAAATTGATTGTACTGAGCTAAACATAATGCAATGATATAAAGTGCATAGAATATATAGCCATAAAATTGCCATAATTTATTTTGGCTTAATCTAGCATGATGAGTTTTGCTAAATTTTATAACTAGTCCACCAAATGTTACACCACATAGTCGATAGATATATATAAAAGTTAGCATGTACACTTGAATAAATTTTGACCTTATTATTACCATGATTAAACAAACTTAATTTTTTAATTATTTAATAAATATTTTTTTGTATGTATATAAATGTATGATTTAATTGAATTTAAATATTGAATATTTTTATATTGAAAAAAATAACTTCAATTATTAATTTTAACAAATTTTATAATATAATTTACTGACTCATATAATATGATAGTTTGAATACCATTAATACAGTATATTTCTAAATAAATCAATATTATTATTATTATTGTATATATTGCTAAATAAATATTTTATTACTATTTTATTTTTATTAAAATGTTTATTTAAGTTGTACTGTATTTTCAGCAATAAATATTGATTAATGTAAACAATGTAAATGAAAAAAATCACTTAATTTTTTCAGGTCATTTTTATTTAGTTTATTAATAATCAATAAATTATGTTATGTTTATTGAATACAAAAGATTTAATTTATACTACATATATTGTATTATAATTTTTTTTAAATAATGAATAAAAATCTTATTATAAAAGTTTAAAAATAAAAAATATATTCTAGATATATAATTTTATTTAAGTTTATTAAATAATATATTTAATTAATGCAATATATAGTTACTTTAGACAACAATATAATGATAACTAGCTTTAACAAATTATTAAAAAAAAGTAAAATAAAATAAATGTTAAAAATTACATATAAAAACAAATATAGTATTTTGTTATTAATTAGATATTAGCGAATTATTTCTTTTAAATTGTATTATACTTATTGCATGTATATATATATAAGTACTTTTTAAGTACGAATAGATTTAAACAAATATTTTGTAGCTCTTATGTATTATACATTTATTATTAATAATACTTGTTTTTTTTGACATATTTTTTCCTTCAAGGTAAATCAAATGTTAATTCATAAAAATTTACAAATATATATATATAATTAATATCACTGTATTGTACAATATTAATATTATAGATTAGTATATATTATCTATCTAGTATAGTATATCTTAATTACAATGCCCTGATATAATCTAATAAATAATACCATTGAATACAATCTTTTCTGAGTATTAAAAAAAACAGTGGGCAAACATGTTATTATTTAGTAAAATCATAATCAATTTATATTTGTCTATATATATATAAAGATAGTTTCAGTATATTAATAAATTTGTAGATAAGTGATAAAATACTAAAAATAATCAAATATCTATTTAAAAAAAATTGCTATAAGTTATAGCCTATAAAATTATTACTAAAAAAGTTAAGTTAGTGACAACAACAAAAAAATGCAAAAAAATTTATTTTTAATTTTTTTGAATGTATTTTTAATAACTCTATTAATCACTACTGTATTGAGTCGTAATGTGTCAGTAAAGGTAGAAAACGGTCGAATCAACGGTCGAACCCAATCATACAACGGTACAGAAGTTGAGGTCTATTTAGGCATTCCGTACGCCAAACCACCGGTCGGTGAGCTACGATTCAGGCGTCCGGTTCCGGCAACAAAATGGTCGCAGCCGTTAGATGCCTATCAATGGCCGGCACCCTGTCAACAGGGACCGGTTGGTTTGATGTTTATGCATAACAAAAATGTCAGCGAAGACTGTCTCTATCTGAATGTATTCAACTCAAAGTCGTCGGTAAACAATAGCCGAAAACTAGCGGTAATGGTTTGGATACACGGCGGCGGGTTTGTTATTGGATCGTCCGGCGAAAGAGTCTACAATCCATTGTTGTTGGCCAAACAGGGAGATGTCATTGTTGTCACTATTAATTATAGGTATTCAACAACAAAAAAATTTCATTGTAAATAACTATCTAAACTAAAACTAAACTTTTATTGATTTTGTAAACAGATTAGGAATGTTAGGTATGCTTAACGGAGGTACTGATGAAGCACCGGGCAATATGTTTGTCTGGGATCAGATACAAGCACTAGAATGGATACAAAAAAATATTGATAAATTCGGTGGCGATCCTAATAGGGTTACCATATTTGGCGAAAGTGCTGGCAGTGTATCGGTTAGTGCACTGATATTATCACCGAAAAGTCGCAATTTGTTTCAAAATGCAATTATGATGTCCGGCTCTACAGCTATCTATAATGGCATATCAGACCAGAAAGATAGTATACAGTATTGGCTAAATCAGGCCAAATCAGTGGGATGTAGTAGTAGTGGTGATAAATTAAGTAAACGTAGAGTCAAATTTAGTAAATCACTAATAGACTGTCTGCGTCAGGTGCCGGCAGATAAATTGGCATTATATCCCAGTTCACCATTTGATATTAACGGTAAAATAATACCCATAGCAGTCAATGATGGACAGCTATTAACCGACGATGTTATGAAAATGTTGGAAAAGGGTGAACACAAACACAACTTTAGTCTATTGATTGGTAATACCGGCGATGAGGGATCAATACTGTTGGCACTGTTTATCGATCCGAAAACATTTAATTTTTTTACACCCAAAAAGTTTACATACAGTAAAGCTTATGATTTTTTAAAAAAGTTTTCGTCACATCTTCCAACTAACCGTCCCATCGATGGCGAACTAGTAGCCAAACTCTACTATACCGGACTGTCCAATAAAACTGACGACGATTTTTTGATCCGTACAATTGGTCTGGCATTTGGTGATTACGCCATGACCTGTCCGACCATTAGATTTGGCAAACAATTGGCTAAAAATAATAATAATAATAACAATGTGAATGTCTATCAATACTATTATAATACCAAAATAGTTGATCCGACAAAAACAGGTGACAAATGGTTAGCATCGTTATGTACCAAATGGATGGGTGCCTGTCATGCAACCGATATCCTCCCAGTGTTTGGTCAGCCCTTCCTTGACGCAAATATCTATGCGGATCGCGAAAGGGAAATATCTGCAAAAATGATGAAAATATTTACAAATTTTGCTAAAACCGGGTATTTATATATATATATATATAATTTTTTTTAATTTAATAAGTTTATTATAATTACATTATATTTTGTATACTAATAGCAAACCGGGTGTTGTGGATAATAACGATTGGCCACAATATTATTCAATGAACAGTCGCTTAATTGCACCGTACTATGAGTTTACTGATCAACCAAATCCAGTGACTAATTATAATAATAATTTAAAAGCTAATTATTGCGATAATCTATGGAATCAATCAAATTAACTAAAAAATAATTAAATTCATATAATATTCTTAATACTATTGATATATAAATAGACGGAAATTTAATAATATTATTTATTGTTAAATTTACTCAATTATAATGTATTTTGTTTTATACTATACAATAAATACTAATTTATGTTAACAATGCATATTAAAAAAGACTAAAAAATTATATTATTTATATTTTAACAATTTATAATTATTATACTATAAATAAATGATAAAAACTTTTTTTAATTAGATAAATAATAAATAATTAAAGCAATATATAAGTATAGCAATATATAATTAAAGCAATATATAATTACTTTAAACAACATTATGATAATAACTAATTATAGCAAATTAATTTTTTTATTTTTCAAAATACAAAAGTAAAAGTTATTTATATTGAAATATTGAAAAAATACATTACCTGTGATTATATTGATTGATTGATTAGTCATTTTAAAAAAATAAATTTTTGATATAATATTTTAGAATTACTTTATGTAATATTAATATATGTTTGTTTGTTAATACAAAATGTCAATAAAATACTTATGACTACCTGTTTTTGGAAAAATTATTTTTTTCAATTATTCAAGGTTATTTTGGATGTTAATACACATAAATAGTACATAATATACATTTAGTACAAAGTACTGCATTATTGATATTATATATTTAATATGATGTTTAGATAGTAAAACTTAGTTACTAATTTTTTTAAATAATCTAGTAAATTATACATAGTACAAGATTTTAAGTGCAATTACATACCAGGGTGCAAATTTTTGTTTAGTACAGTGTACTATACCTATATATAATGTAATGTTAATTGATTAATGTTATTTATTAATTATTAGCAAATTATAACTTATGTTAATAAATTAAAATAAATTAATGATATTTATATTATTAGATACTAATAAATTTTGAAAAATTTAGACAATGTTTATAAAAATAAAATTATTGCAACAAAAATCATTTTTAGTTATATTAAACGTATTTTTAATATCCTTATTAATCACTACTGTAGTGACCCGTGATGTGTCGGTAACGGTAGAAAACGGTCGAATCAATGGTCGTACCCAATCATACAACGGTACCAATGTCGAGGTCTACTTAGGCATTCCATACGCCAAACCACCGGTCGGTGCGCTTCGGTTTCGGCGCCCATTGGCGGCAACAAAATGGTCGAAACCGTTAGATGCTTATCAATGGCCGTCACCATGTCAACAAACACCGTTTGGTTTGGTGTCTGTGCACAACAAAAATGCAAGTGAAGACTGTCTCTATCTCAATGTATTTAACTCAAAGTCATCGGTAAATACAAATGATGACCGAAAGCGACCGGTAATGGTTTGGATACACGGCGGAGGTTTCATTATGGGGTCATCGGTTGAGACCGTTTACAATCCTTTATTGTTGGCCACACAGGGAGATGTTATTGTTGTCACTATTAATTATAGGTATTAGAATATATATATATATGAACTGTTATTGAAGAAAAACTAACTTTTATTTTTTTTTTTAAATAATTATCTAACAGATTAGGACTGTTAGGTTTGCTCAACGCTGGTACGGATGAAGCACCGGGCAATATGTTTATCTGGGATCAGATACAGGCACTGGAATGGATACAGAAAAATATCGGTCAATTTGGTGGTGATCCCAATAGAGTAACAATATTTGGCGGCAGTGCCGGTAGTGTATCGATTAGTTTACTGATATTATCGCCGAAAAGTAGGCATTTGTTTCAAAATGCAATTATGATGTCCGGTGCCGCCACTGTCTACAAGAGCATTGCAGAGTCGGCCGATAGTCAACAATATTGGCTAAGTCAGGCCAAAATAGTGGGATGTAGTATTAATAGTAATACATCAAGTCAGCAATTGGTCGACTGTTTGCGTCGGGTGCCGGCAGACAAATTGGCATTACTTCCCACTACACCATTCGATACTACCGGCAAAATAATACCCGTAGCTGTAAATGATGGCCAACTGTTAACTGCTGATGGTTTGAAAATGTTGGAAAAGGGTGAACACAAACACAACTTTAGTCTATTGATTGGTAACACCGGCGATGAGGGATCAATACTGTTGGCACTGTTGGTCGATCCGAAAACATTTGACTTTTTTACACCCAAAAAGTTTTCATACAGTGAAGCCTATGATTTTTTAAAAAAGTTTTCATCACATCTTCCAGCTAACCGTCCCATCGATGGCGAACTAGTAGCCAAACTCTACTACACCGGACTATCAAACAAAACAGCCGATGATTTATTAATTCGTACGATTGGTCTGGCATTTGGCGATTATGTCATGACCTGCCCGACTACAAGATTTGGCAAACAGTTAGCCAAAAACAATAATACTGGTGTAAATGTCTATCAATACTATTATAATACCAAAATAGTTGATCCGTCAAAAACAGGTGACAAATGGTTAGCATCGTTATGTACCAAATGGATGGGTGCCTGTCATTCAACTGATATCCTCCCAGTGTTTGGACAGCCATTCCTTAATGCAAAAATATATGCGGATCGCGAACGAGAAATATCCACACAAATGATACGGATTTTTACAAATTTTGCTAAAACCGGGTATTTATATAAATATAGAAACAATTTTTTAAAATTTAATATCATAACTAATATTTAATATTTTTCATTCAAATATTTACTAAATAGCAAACCGGGTGTTGTGGATAACGACGATTGGCCACAATTTTATTCAGTGGACAGTCATGTAATTGCACCGTACTATGAGTTTGCTAATCAACCAAATCCAGTGACTAATTATAATAATAATTTAAAAGATATTTATTGTGATAATCTATGGAATTCATATAACTAATTATTATTGTATATAAAAATTCAAAATTTTTTATAATTTTATTTGTTTAATAAATTAATTAATTAATCAAATGTTAAATATTGAAATATATAAAACTAAATAAAAAACTTTATTAAATTTAAATTATTTTTTGTTATTATTATTTTTTTGTTAGATTAATAAATTATTTTATAATGTAATTTACAATAACAATGCGTTCAAAACATAAATAAAACTCTAACTTATATTGTATTCAATTATGTTTTCATTTCTAATTTAATATATTTTAAAAATTTAGTTCAATTTAATAAAAAACTTATTATTATTATAATTAAAATATAAAATAAATTAAAAAAATGTTTTATTAGTAAATAAATATAATTATTTTTTTATTAGTAGAAGTACTAATATGTATTATTGCATTTTACTTAATAATAATCAATTGGAGTATAATTGGCAATCCTATGTATAATAAATGTAAAAATTATAAAATTTTTATTGTTTTCAAAAAATAAATAAATAAACAATTATATACAAGGTTACTCAGTATATTGTACTTACAATATTAATATACAGTAATTTTTTTTTAAAAAAATACTGTATATTAATATACTGTATTAGTGTACCTTAATAAGTGCAGTAAAAATACCAGGGTACAACTAGTGCTATAGTGCAACATATAGTGCAACAAACTGTATATAAAAATTTGAGAGATTTTTTTAATTATAAAATTTAAATCAAGTATAAGAATATATTGCTACTAAATATTTGATAAAATAATGTTTATTACAACAATACAACAAAAATCATTACAATCTATACTGAATGTAATAATTTTGATCAATGTTGTCATAGCTGGCGATGTGTCGGTAACGGTAGAAAACGGTCGTATCAATGGTCGCACCCAACCATACAACAACAGAAGTACAGAAGTTGAGGTCTACTTAGGCATTCCATACGCCGAACCACCGGTCGGTGCGCTACGATTTCGGCGTCCGCTGCCGGCTAGGAAATGGTTGCAACCGTTAGATGCCTACCAATGGCCGGCACCCTGCCAACAAGAACCGTTAGCTTTGGTGTATATGCAAAATCCGAAACCCAGTGAGGACTGTCTCTATCTTAATGTTTTTAACGCAAAGTCGTCCTTCAATAATAATAACCGTAAACGAGCGGTAATGGTTTGGATACATGGAGGAGGATTTATTATGGGCTCGTCCAGTGAGGACGTCTACAATCCTATGTTGTTGGCCACTCAAGGAGATGTAATTGTTGTTACTATTAATTATAGGTATTATATGAAAAATTTTTGTTATGTTAATAAAAAATAATCATAAATTATATTTTTTTATCTAACAGATTAGGTCTATTAGGACTAATAAACGTGGGTTCTGATGAGGCACCGGGCAATATGTTTATCTGGGATCAGATACAGGCACTGGAATGGATACAAAAAAATATCGGACATTTTGGCGGCGATCCCAATAGAGTTACTGTATTTGGCGGCAGTGCCGGCAGTATATCCATTAGTGCACTAATCCTATCGCCGAAAAGTCGACATTTGTTTCAAAATGCAATTATGATGTCCGGTGCCGCCACTGTCTACAAGAGCATTGCAGAGCCAACTGATAGTATACGGTATTGGCTAAGTCAGGCCAAAACACTAGGATGTAGTAGTAGTAGTAGTGATAAATTAAATCAAAGTAGAAGTAAATTCACTAAACAACTGGTTGACTGTCTACGTCAGGTGCCGGCAGATAAATTGGCTGTACATCCCAGTACACCGTTTGACAGTTCAGGCAAACTAATACCTGTAGCAGTTAAAGATGGACAGCTATTAACAGCTAGCGGTTTGAAAATGTTGGAAAAGGGTGAACACAAACAAAACTTTAGTCTATTGATTGGTAATACCGGAGATGAGGGATCATTACTGTTGGCACTGTTAGTCGATCCGAAAACATTCAACTTTTTTACACCCAAAAAGTTTACATACAGTGAAGCCTATGATTATTTGAAACAATTTTCATCCCGTCTTTCAGCTAATCGTCCCATTGATGGTAATAAAGTGTCTAAACTTTACTTCAAGGGTCTGTCCAATAAAACTAGTAGCGATCAGCTGATCCGTACTATTGGTCAGGCGTTTGGCGACTACGTTATGACGTGTCCGACAACTAGATTCGGCAAATTGTTGACCAAAAACAACAACACCGATGTAAATGTCTATCAATACTATTATAATACCAAAATAGTTGATCCAACAAAAGCTGGTCTACTGACTAAATGGTTGGGCTCGTTGTGTACCAAATGGATGGGTGCCTGTCATTCAACTGATGTCCTCCCAGTGTTTGGACAACCCTTTCTTATGGCAAAAAAATACGCGGATCGCGAACGGGAAATATCCGCAGAAATGATGCAAATATTTACTAATTTTGCTAAAACCGGGTATTTATATCTATTTAAAAAAAACTATTTTCCTTAAAATAACATGATATACAGTATATTTATTTTGTTGTTTTTTTGTAAACTTATAGAAAACCGGGTTTTATGGATAACCAGAATTGGCCTAAATTTTATACCTCATTGGACAGTAGTGTCATCGCACCGTACTATGAGTTTAGTAATAAACCCAAACGTTTGACTAACTATAATAAAAATTTAAAAAATAACTATTGTAATAGTCTATGGAATCGATATAATAATTAATTAATATAATTTATTATAATTTAATTTTTGAAGTCATAATGTCTACAAAAAATTAAGTATATATTTTTTGTATATAATTAATAAATTTTTATAATATAAGTTTTAATAAGTTTTTATAATATAATAAAAGCTACTTAAGTATAGAAATATTAACAAAAAAAGTATATGATTTTATTTTTTGCGATTTATTATTGATTGAATCAGATTATATGATTAGGTGGTCAGTGATCAATAACAACAACAACAACCAGATAATGAAAATAATTTTTTATCCGATAATAATATCGACAATAATGTTATACCAGATATAAATATTTATTAAAAAAAAATTTAAAAAAATTAATAAAAATTTTGAACAAACTTTGTTTGTTTGTTTGTTTGTTTGTTTGTTTGTTATAATAATTGTCTATAGACTTGAATAAAAATATTAATTATCTTTATTTTAAACTTGATTATTATGAATAAAATAATAAAATATAGTTAAATTTTTAAGTTATAAAAAATATATGAAATAGTATTGAGATAATATACAGGTATTAGAGATTACGATAAAATTAGTATTAATTTTTTGTTAATATATTTTAATAATTTTGTTATATTATTATTGTTAATATAATTTCTTATTTTAAAAATTATAACTATATAATATATAAATCTTTATCTATATAATTATTACTATAACAGTTATAAACAATTTGATGTTTTAATATTATGTAATATATAAATATAATTGTGTGCTTAACATTACATAACATTATTTAATTTGGATCATCTAATTATTAAATAATAAAATATGTTAATAACATTACCAAAAAAATTATTTTTAATAAAAAATAAATAATCAGCATTTTATATATTGATAGCATAATAAATCAAAAATGACATTGATAAACTTAGTACGGCAAACAACGGGTGCACATCCATACCGGTGCTGTTAGTCGACGACAATGGTTTGGGTACCGGTTCGGGTTGGAAATAATTTCGCCAAAACGTATCGCACGTCGTGTGGGCAAACGTATGGTGCAAATCACGTGTCGTCGCCATAGTCCACGGGTTCAGTTCGCGCACATTAGTCATTGATGAAACATCACTGGTATAATTGGTTATGTTGTTTGCTGTGGTGTTCAGCAACAATGGCCATTGAGGTCCCGGTGCTCTAACAACCAGATAAATAAATGTGTCATTAAAACTAGAAAACTATATTTAAAAAGTTATCTCTTTTACCCGTATTTGACAAATTCGGTCCACATTTGCATAATAGCCGTACTGAACGTTATATCAGTTATATTGTAATTAGTTGTGTCATTCAGAGGAACTCCAAACACAAACGGCAGGTCTGAACCGTGACATACTCGGCCTGTCGTCTGACAATCTGTGCTCACTTGACTTCGGTAGGTTAGCTCATAGAAGTATACACGACTACCAACACTACTACTACTACTATTAGTTGTGTGGTGTTTATCGTGCAGTGCATACTGTTTGGCAAACAGATATGTCGGACACTTGATCTGTACATCACCGTAAACACGTGCAAACGCGTGCCATAGTTGATCAGGGTTATATTTGTTGACGTGTTGCAAATAAAATCGGTCAACCGCTTTGACATCAATGCCGTGAAGCTGGTCGTTGGCTTCGTTGACCAACAAATTGAATAGCCGTTCAGTCATACTGTCCGAAACATCGGGAAAGTCGTACTCAATGCCAGGATAGCCCTCATCTTTGACAACACCAGCCATAATGTCTATGTCTAGTAATTATTTATTTTATTATTATTACTACTATTGCAAAATAAAAATTTTATATCAGCTTTACTTTGTGCATAACTCCCGTTACCGAACGCGTATTGTGCAGATGCTGGTAAAATAGGAGTTCCCTCTAACGGATAGGTAATATGATCGGTATATTTGACTAGTTTGTCGGCACTGACATTACGCAAACACAACAACCAGTCCGCACTACAACCAAACTGTTTGGCCAAACAATGAGTGTCGTCGAGTGACTCTTCTGGAGTCCTGTATGGACGTCCCCAGTAGTGATACTCTGCACCGCTCTCTATGATGGCCCGGGCAAACAGTCCCCGGGAAAGTGGTGACAGTATATGTACAGTGGTAGATATAGCACCGGCACCTTGACCAAATAGTGTTATCGCCGATTTATTGCCGCCAAACATGTGTATATTGTCGCGCACCTGTACATCAAACCAAACAAATAAATGTTGAATTACTTACTTAATAATAAAACAAACGTATATTAACTAAATGTCTGTTTTTATATCTAACTAACCCATTTGAGTGCCAATAACTGGTCATACAATCCGACATTTCCGGGCGCCCCCTCCTCATACTCATCATTATAGCCACCGTATAGGAAGCCAAACATACCGAGTCTATAGTTGATCGAAACTACTACCACATCATACGTGGCCAGTCTATGGCCGTAGTATTGTGGCATAAATATTGAGCCGCGATTGAAGGCACCACCGTGGATCCAAAACATAACCGGTTTCAAGTGTCCAACACTACTGCTACTACTATTGCCGGTGCTCCCAATAATCGGTGTCCATATATTCAAAACTAGACAGTCCTCACTTTCATGCAAACTTGAATCGCTGGGCGATTGCATACATGAGTTACCCGGTTTGGTAGCATCGCGGACAGTCTATCAATAAAAATCATATTAAATCATAAATCATAAATCATATATATCAAGGTGCTTAATAGAGTACAAGTACTTAATAAAAAAAACTATTACATCAGTGGCACTGGCCTTTAATGGCACCGGTTTAGCAAACCGTAATCTATCGACTGGCGGTTCGGCGTAAGGTATGTTCAGAAACTGTCCGATTTGATGGCCCAATACTTTGACTAACTGTCCTCTCAGTGTACCTGAACTAACTGTCTTTATAGTTATCGTATTATTTGTTTTGAGACATTCATTAGATACCGATAACAATAACAAAGCAAATAATTTTAAAATGTTAAACATTTTTTATAATAAAAAAATAAATGATTATAATATTAAAATTATTTTCCCTTTTTAAAAAAAAATTTCAAGTATTTTTAAAAATACAGTAATATTACTGAATTGAATGGAAAATTGCAATATATTAATACAATTTTATACTTTTAAATTATATGAATAAAAAATATATAAAATATATTTTTATAGTATACCAGTACTATTAAATTTGAAATTGTTTTTAATGACATTACATTAAATAAATATCTAAGTAAATGTTGATAATAAATAAATTGCAAAATCATTAAAATAATAAAATAAAAAGTACTAGTATAAATATTTTTATAGATTTTTAATTATTATATTAATTAATTAAATTAATTTCATTGTTTTATATTTATTGAAAAAATGTAGTAACATTTTTATTAACTATTAATTCAAGATAAAAACTATAAATTTTAGTAAAAATATTTTGCTACTATCATAAAAATTATTATTATTAATGTTTTTATTATTCAATTAGTTATATTGAATTTAATAAGTTTTATTTTATTTATTTAGTTTTATATTATTTATTAAGTTTTATTTTATTTAACAAGTTTCATTTAATTTATTCTATTATTATTATGTAATAATAATAAAAATATTAATTATTTTCGTGTAATTTTTATCAATAAAACTCAAAATTACAAATAATAATCATGCCAAAACGTGTCGCACGAGTTTTTAAACACATCGACAAGCACGCGCGTTTTATTGTGTGCATTAAGATCCTTGATTTTCATGTGATCGGGACTATCACGCGACAAAAGCTCGGGCCACGTGCCAGTAGTATCGGGTTTACTGTAAGCAATATACGTTATAAGTTAATTAAGTGACTTAATTATAAACATATATAACTAAACTATTATTTATAATAATAATTTCAATTTAAAAAAAAATTACCCATTTTTAGCAAAATTTGTCCACATTTTCATTATATCTGAACTAAAATCTCTGTCCAATTGGGTGTACACCGAGTCGTGTGAGGTCAACGGTACGCCAAAAACAAACTCAACATCACTGCCATGACAAACACCCATACCCTGGGGACAGCCGTTTTTTCGTTCGTAGGTCAGCTCATAGAAGTAGACATTTTGTTGTTGGCTGGAGTTATGGGCCAATCGGGCGTACTGTCGGCTAAACATATAGGCGGGACATTTGACATGAAGATCGCCGAAAAAGTCGAAAAACGCCAGTCGTAGGGCTTCTGGCGATTTACGGTCGACTCCGGTCAAGTAGTGGTCAGCTACCCGATTGACATTGAGTCCGTGATATGTGGTGTCAACTTCGGCGACCAATTTAAGAAAATCAGATTCAGTAATATTTTTACTTAGCAAAGGATAGCCACCCATAGCCAACATTGAACCCTCATTGAGTGTCACACCCGCCATAATATCCAAGCCTATGACAGTACACAATATCTGTTTAATATCCTAAATGTATATAATATACTAGCGATATACTTAAAAAAAACACATACTAACCCTTTGTGTATTTTCCCGATTCAAATGCCTGTTGGACAGGTAGGGGTAGGAATGATGTTCCGTCCAATGGAAATGTAAATTCTTTATGATATTTGCTAAACTCTGTTGGCTTACGTTTGCGTAAACAGTCCAACCATTGTTTGTTATTCGTGTTGTTGTGGTTGTCATGTACTGTACAGTTCAATTGTCGGGCTATAGTCTGTGCCTCCTGGAGGGCCTCACTGGTTGTTTGTGATCCTCTTTGCTTCCAATGCATGTATGATCCGCTTTCCAATATTACACGTCTGAACAGTCCCTTACTTTCGGGTGAGACTATCAGTGCCGATATCGATCGACTACCGGCGCTCTGACCAAACACTGTCACCCGATCTCTGTCGCCACCGAATGCCTGGATGTTGTCTCTGATCCATCGTAACGCCATTATCTGATCCGATAGTCCGGCATTGCCCGGTGCCGAGTCGTCCGCACCGTAGAGAAACCCGAGTTTCCCCAGTCGATAGTTGGCTGCTACAAAAACAACATCCTGAGTAGCGGCCAACCGATGGCCATCACATCCACCAAATATAGAGCCACCATTTAGTCCGCCGCCGTACAGCCAAAACATGACTGCTTTCGGTTTATTATCCGATTTTACATCATTTGGTGTCCATATGTTTAGTACCAAACAGTCTTCACTTTCATATGGACTGTGACTATCGGGTGATTGATAGCATAGATTTCCCCGTTTTGTGCCATCGATTATATTCTGAATTGTCATAAAAAAGATTTTCAAAGTTAATCAAAAACAAAAAACAAAAGTTAATAAATAAATTTATAACTTATTTTTTTATAAATACCGGTTTAGGTTTACTAAGTGGTACCGAATGGCCAAATCTTAGCGATCCAATTGGTGGTTCGGCATACGGTATGTTTAGAAATTGACGGACAGTTGTATTGAGGACATCCACCAATTTACCCCTTACTGTACCCGATGTTGTTTTGACATCCAAATTGAAATCATTGTTCAAACATATTATACATTGTATGCACAATATTACTAATAAACAGATTCTATTGTATAGTTTATTAAACATTTTTAACACAAATAATATTTATATATATATTTTAATTAATTTTGCAAATATATTTTTTAGTAGTTTATAAATATTAAATATTAGCTATATATATATATATATATATATAGTTTAATAAAATTATTATCTAAATAAAGTGAAGTTATTGTTAGATAAAAAAATAATTCCATAATTGAGAAATAAAAAAATTATTTCCATATGTTTTTTTACTTATTGTATATTTTTTGTGCACTACAAATATGTATAAAAAATATAAATTGTGCAAAATAACCAACAAGTAATTATAAAATAATGTTTTAATAGATAATACACTACAATTTAATTATCATTAACTTAAAGCATTGATATTTTTATATAGAATTTATTAACAATTATTTTTTAAATATTTTGTAGATCCGTTTTGTAATATTGTATTTTTTAGTTAATACAATATATACAGTATAAATTATGATATATATATATTATATTTGATAATGATTATCTGATTAGTGTATATAAATGGTCATAAGTTATTATTAATTAAACTTAAATATATATATTTTTAAATATCATATAATATTGCATTAATGCATAGCTTAACATTTATTAATATATAATTAAATACAATTATTATTTTTAAGTTAAATAATAACAACAACAACAAAATAATTCACAAAGAAGTTAAAAATTTTATTTAACTGATAATATAAAATTTTATATAAAAAATAATTAAAAAAAATATGATTACAGTAGTAGAATTTATTTTTTTAAAAAAAGATAAGTATTAAACTTAAAAAATATTTGTTTTTAATTTTTTTTAATGTGTAATCTATTAATTTAATTATATTTTTTTTAGAAAAAAAATAAATGCAATTAATAGACAAACTGTTTATAATATTTGTTTAAGTATATACATATATATAACACTATAAATAATAATTGTACCAAAACGTGTCGCACGAGTTTTTAAACAAATCGGTAAACACGCGCGTCTTATTGTACGGATTAAGGTCCTTGATATACATGTGCTGATCGGGACTGTCATCGCGCGACAAAAACAATGGCCACGTGCCAGTAGTATCGGGTTTACTAACAAATGCCAAAAAATATTAATAAAAACTTATATAATATAAAAGAAAATATTAATAATAATATTTAGTATAAAATCAAAACTATTTGTTTGTTTACCCATTTTTAGCAAAATCTGTCCACAATTTCATGACATATAAACTAAACTCTTTGTCTACTTTGGTATGTATGGTGTCGTTCATAGTCAACGGTACACCGAAAACAAATTCAATTTCACTGCCATGACATATACCCATACCGTCACCGCATCCCCACATTTTAGCCAACTTGCTCTGATAGGTTAGTTCATAGAAATAGTTGTTTTGTTGTTGACGACTAGAGTTATGGGACAACCGAGCGTATTGTCGGCTAAACAAATATAGGGGACATTTGACATGAATATCGCCGAAAAAGTCGAAAAACGCCAGTCGTAGGGATTCTGGCGATTTGCGGTCGACTCCGGCTAAGTAGTGGTCGGCTACCCGTTGGACATCCAGTCCGTGATAAGTGTTGTCAACTTCGCCGATCAACTTAAGAAAATCGGATTCAGTTATATTTTTTTGCAACAAAGGATAGCCACCCATAGCTAACGTTGAACCCTCATTGAGTGTCACACCCGCCATAATATCCAAACCTAAGTGAGTTTAATAATAAAGATTATAGTATCAGTTTAATAATAATAATAAAGTCAATTATAAAGCAAAAAATAACTAACCCTTTGTGTATTTTCCCGATTCAAATGCCTGTTGTATAGGTATGGGTAGTAATGATGTTCCGTCCAATGGAAATGTAAATTCTTTATAAAATTTGCTAAACTCTGTTGGCTTACATTTGCGCAAACAGTCCAACCATTGTTTATCATCTGTGTTGTTGTTGCTGTTGTTGTTGTTGGTGTGGTTGTCATGTACTGTACAGTTCAACTGTCGGGCTATAGACTGTGCCTCCTGGAGGGCCTCACTGGTTGTTTGTGATCCTCTTTGCTTCCAATGCATGAATGATCCGCTCTCCAAAATTACACGTCTGAACAGTCCCTTACTTTCGGGTGAGACTATCAGCGCCGATATCGATCGACTACCGGCGCTCTGACCAAACACTGTCACCCGATCTCTGTCGCCACCGAATGCCTGGATGTTGTCTCTGATCCATCGTAACGCCATTATCTGATCCGATAGTCCGGCATTGCCCGGTGCCGAGTTGTCCGCACCGTAGAGAAACCCGAGTTTCCCGAGACGATAGTTAGCCGTAACAACAATAACATCCTGAGTAGCGGCCAACCGATGACCATCATATAGTCCGCCAAATATGGAGCCGGTGTTGAGTCCGCCGCCGTATAGCCAAAACATAACAGGTTTTGGCTTAATGTTAGACTTAGTCTTAGCATTTGGTGTCCATATGTTTAGTACTAAACAGTCTTCGCTTTCATACGGATCGTGAGTATCGGGTGATTGATAGCAAAGATTTCCCCGTTTTGTGCCATCGATTATATTCTGAATTATTTTTTTTTAAAAATTTTTATTATTAAGATTTTCAAATTAATGAACAACAACAACATAATAATAATAATAAAACATTAATAAAAAATTAGTAATAAATAATAATTTTGTTACCGGTTTAGGTTTACTAAGTGGTACCGAATGGCCAAATCTTAGCGGACCAACTGGTGGTTCGGCATACGGTATGTTTAGAAATTGACGGACAGTTGTATTGAGGACATCCACCAATTGACCCCTTACTGTACCCGATTTAATTAAAAAAATAATTAAAAACGTTTTTAATTTTTGACCTTAAATTTGGGACTTTTTGTATTATATATACTGTATATATACTCTATATATACTGTATATATATTTATTAAAATTAGTGATAGTATTGTCATTTCAATAATATCTCTCATTACTTATAGTTATAATAATAATTACTACTATAACTATAACTATTAAAATAAAATTATTAATTTAATTTTGTTTGGTTAATTTGTGTTAAATTAATATTGGATAATTTAATTACTGCATACATTTCGGTAAGTTTAGTTAAATTAAATTTTAATATATCTATATTTATTTATTTTTTTTGGTCAAACTGTATTGAAATAAAATAATATAAATTTATTAGATAAATATAGTTAGATAATTAATTAAATTTAAATTATTATAATTAATATAATTTTTTTTGTTTTAATTTTATTTTTATTTGAAATTTAAATCAGCTGTTTATAACAAACAATTCATTGACCTTCAATTTCAATAGTCACGTGATATATGTAAGTCTTTATATATATATATTTTTATATATATATTTTTATTTATTTAGTTAAATTTTATTAATTAATTTTAATTAATAAATTTATTAATTTATTAATTGATTAATGTTTATTTTTAAATATGATAAATATTTTTATTTTATTTTATAATAAATTTAATATAAATTCTTGCAATTTATTAATTATTATTTATTTTTTTATATAAAATATAAATCATATAAACTCAATATTGTATATAAAAAATAAATATATCAAAATTTTACACTATTATATTGAAATATAAGAAAATTAATTTATATTTGTTATAAAAACATTTAATAATACTAAGTTAAAAATTAGTTAAAAAAATTAATTACATAATCTATTATTATAATAATTAAAATCATAATATACAGTAATTATATAAGTTGTTAAATAATTTTAAAAGAAAAAAAACAATATTTAAAAATATATAGTCTAATATATTATAGTAAAAAATTTTTTATATAAATTTCTATTATATTTAAAATGATTACTATATTAAATTTTAAAATTAAATTTATAATAATTAAATTTATTATATTTATTTAATAATTAATTTTGATTTTATTATTTTAATATTGAGTTTAAATTTTTTAATAAATTAATTAATTAAATCTTATTATTATTTCATAAAGAAATAAGTTATATAGTATCTCTCTCTCTCTAAATATTTTTAAATTATTTAATTTATTAGTTATTAATTATTAGTTATTTGATTAATTTTAATTTATTATTTAATATTTAGTTTTTTATTAATTAATTAATATTTAGTAAATACTTAATTTATTATTTATTAATCATGATAAATTTATAAATAGCATTAAAATAATTTATTATACTTTTATTTATTTAAATTCAATCTATTTAATATCATTAATTTTTCTTAATATTTTTTTGTTTATATAAAAATTTCAGATATAATATTATAATTTAATATAATCAAAATATATATTTTAATTATTAATATTGATTGCATTATGATAACTGTTTTTATCAATAAATATATATATAAAATTATAAAAAAAAACAGTATACATTATACTATAAAAAATTTTACAAAATTAATTAAATATATATATTTAATATTATAATAGTTAATTAATTAATCAAGTATAATTATTAATAAATTTTTTAATAATTTTATCTCTGTAAATTATATATATAATATTATTTTATTAATTAAATTTTGTTTGTAAAATTAATTTGAATTTTTAATTATTAAAAAATTATTGATTTATATTTTATATATCTATTTATTTTAGTAATAATTTTTTTTTATTTTTAAATATATTAGTGTTTAATTTTAAATTATTAATTTTTAAATAATAAAAAAACTTAAATAACCAGGGTTTTAAAATAAGTTAGTATAAAAATAGATGCCAATTTTGCCAAATACCTACCTTGTCCCTGCATGCTTAGGTCATTTATTTTCAGCGTTATTTTAATTTTATATTATTAATTTAATTTTTTTTATTTATCTGTTTATTTGATAAACTTTAATTATTTTTAATTATTATCATGCGAAATTTATTTTTTAACTATTTTTATTTATTTATTTTTTATCCTTTAGTTACTCACAATGTCTGTAAGTGGTGTTTCAGGAGACGATGATTTATTTAGCCCGCGATTTGACAGCCTAATTTCCCGATATATTCGAGCCCCCAATTGGATGAACCAGATTATTATGATTTGGCGATATATTTATGCATACCGTACGCCAATTTATCAATAGGGGTGTCCAAAATCCCAAAATTTCTGAGGTTCGATATTATTATTGTTAATCATTATTATTATTTTTATTTTCAGGACTTTCTTGAACCACCGGTTGCTGGTTTATTTCCACCGGTGTTCGATAATACAGTACCCAAAGAAATCCGTATACTTAAGGAAGAGTTAACCGAACTTCGGGAAAGTGTAACCCAAACGAACTCTGCTATGTGTGCCGCCATCGGTGAAATCAATGATAACTTGATTTCCTTGAATAAGCACATTGCCTACCAGTCAAGAATATTAGAAACTCTTGTCAATTGTGACATTGTTTTGATCCCCGAAAATTCCGATTCCGCTTCCATTGTTGTAGAGGCAGTCGATAATCATGTTGTTTTACCTGTAGCTGCTGGTAGTGCCGTTGTTGAACGACTGAAACATTGGAGAGAAACAGTTGTGCCGGAAGGATGGTATCTGGACCGCACATTGATGACAGGAGCTCGAAAGCTTGTGGTTATTCCTGGTGTCCGAGAATTTGTTCACCAGTCAAATGAACTTCTTTGCGATTGCGACTTTCCGCCAGTGCCCGAAATTGTTAATCAGATAGGATTTATTTGCGTATCTGCTGGTTCCAGCTTTTCGAAAGCTATTACCGACTCAATGTTTAAGTCGTACCAGAGGGTCTCGTTAATTGAAAAATCAGGCTCTTTAATTGTTTTCGAATATTGGCGCGACTACTCTCCGGTCTGTCCCATATGTGGTGTTATCTTGAATTCCACGCGTCTTTTTCGTGCCGACCATATTAGTTCCCATTCAAATGAATCCAAGAAACATCATTGTCTCGGCAATAAAGCACCGGTGAACGCCAATATTAAACTTAAATTGATCTCTTAATTTTGTTTTTCTTTAATCGTTTCTCTTAATATTGGTGTATATTATATATATATATATTTTTTTATTTCATAATTACTAATTTTGTTGTTGTAATATTTAATATTATATAAATATTTACAGGTTTTATAAATGTATCTTATATACAGTAATTAATTATAATTAATATATAACTGTTTTTCTAATAAACTATTTTTTTCAATTTTTGATTTGCTTTATTTTTTTGCAATATTTGTATTTTTTTGTTAAAATAATTAACCTTTTTAAGGGGTTTTTGATAATTATATTATAAAGTTTTAAACTTTTTTACATTTTAATGGTTTTTATGTATATTTTCACGGTATGTTTATGCATTTTTATATTATGTATATTCATATTCATAGTATTGTATTCAATTTCAGGGTATACCTATATATTTTCATGGTTTAATAATACAATTTCAGGGTATACCTATATATATTTTCATGGTTTAATAATACAATTTCAGGGTATACCTAAATATTTTCATGGTTTAATAATACAATTTCAGGGTATACCTATATATTTTCATGGTTTAATAATACAATTTCAGGGTATACCTATATATATTTTCATGGTTTAATAATACATTTTCGGTAATAAAATTAAATTAATAAAAATCTATATATTTATGAATTCATTGTTATCTATTTTGTTTGTGACATTTATATTACTGCTTTTATATTGAATATCTAATTAATTATCTGTCTCATATTGGTAGTTTTTTAATCTACTTATATGTAAAACTTCGGTTTTATTTTTTGGATTTATTATTTTTACATTAACAGGGGATTTTATGTCTATTATACGGTATGGACCGTAGAATCGATGCAATAATTTTTCGCTTTTGTTTAACTTTCTAGTAGGAGTATAAACAAAAACAATATCATCAATTTTGAATTTTAAGGACTTTAGTTGATTCTTAAGCGAACATCTGCGTTATGACTATACTTTTTCTCTACTATGTGTAACTCAAGTATCCCATATGCAGGATTAACTACTACTTCATGAATAGATGTATTATTTTCAATAATTGAATATCTATTATAAATGTTTTCAATACTAGAATAAAGATTATCAAATAAACTCAAAATATAACTGTATATTTGTCCTATAAAATACAGTATATATAACTGAATTGTAATATCTATTTTACTTGATTTTTAGGCGCATTTTTAATTAAAAATATTTTTTCTCCAAATTTTTTTTCTGTGTTAGCTTTACTTTTAATACAATATGCAGATAAAAAGTTCGCACCCATATGTGAAATCCTTCTACTTTCTATAGCAAAGTCAAAACCCAAGAGACCAGTATCTCAAATATCGGCCCATTATATAGACCTACTTAAAGCCACGCCTTAAAGTGAAGAGAGTTTACATAATACAGTAATAATATAAAAATTGGTGGTAATATAGTATAAAATTTTACGTTATACTGTAATATGAATAATAGGTCCATACAAAAAAACTAACATAAATTCAATGCCATTGCTTAAGTACATTTTTAAAAATAACTTAAATGATAAAAAATACATAACTTAATGCAAATTAAAAATAATTAGTAATAAATAAAAATAAGTAATTTAAAACAGTAATATATTAATTAATTTTTACTAAAGTTAAATAGCAAATAAAATAATAATATTAATAGTTTATTAGATAACATTACTGTATAGATGTTTATTTTACAAAATATAATATACATTTATAAATACGAGATAAAATGTATAAAAATTTAATTTAGTTTAATAATAATAATAAAATAATCAGATATTTATTTTTTTTTGATTAATACTGTACTCTTTAATTGATTGATTGATAGAGATTTAATTCTAGCATTAAATGAAATATTATTTGTACACTAATTTATTGTTTATTATTTATTTGTATATTACTTTTAAAAAGCTAAATAATAATATATAATATTAAACTCAAATATATATTGTAATGATTGTAAAGTAGATTGAATAATAAATATAACAACAATAATACAATATATATTAATATATAAAGATATTTAATTAAGAACAGTAGTTATTATAATATTTTAATTTAATTTTTTTTATTTAAAATTATGCTTTAAGTCTGGTTTGTAACAAAATAACCGTATAGTTTAGTATAAATGAAAATATCTGTAAAAAACATTGCAAATAAAAATTGATATAATTAATAATAATTAATATATTAAATATCTAATTATAATCAAATATTTTTACCGCAATTAATGTCGATTTGTTAAATCTGGCGAAACCAGCTATAGAAAAGCCAATTGAATGCGATTTGTGGACAATTTTGACAAACATTTGCCACTCCTTGTAATACCAATTATCCATATTTTGGGCGTCCATTTGGTCCAACACTTTAGCCAATGTGTCGGTCCTCTGTTGGACACTACCGCACAACAGACACGATACGATCAGAGATACAGTAGTCGATGTTATGTTCAATAGGATTATCTGTGAAAAATCTACTAAACCATCATGGTGACTTAATAGTGTAGCACTGTATATATTAACCATAATTGAATAAATTGAAAATATTACATTCAATAATAGACTATATTTTATAATTGAATCCATTTTCATAATAGTCGTACTAATTGTTACAAATATTGACTTAAATAACAATAATTTATTTTGTTTTGATGTCGTCAATCGTTTGGACAAATAATGTGAATCTAATTTTTTAGAGACAAAAAAAATTAAACAAATAATTTTGTATAAAAACATATTTTTTACTTAAATATTACTTGAATTAAAACATTGGATCTCTGAATCAGTTTTAAGTTTATTTATAATAATATCCAACAGTTGACTAAAATATATTGATATCAACCACATCAACGATGAGGGTATCCAAAAATAAAATAGAAAATGTGCATAAACTAAACCGGATAATTTATCTATTATGGATACACTGGTCCAATATTGTATTAATAATTTTACAAAAATTATTTCCATTGCCATAATATTGCCTAGCCACAATAAAAACAACCATAGCAAGTTTACAGTAATTTTATTATTTGATTTTAGCAATTTTATTGTCGACACAAACATTTCGATAATATCATATCCCTGGGTATTACAAATAACTAGAGTGACCAGTTTAATTAGTAACTGTTGTAACCAACTACCAATAAATAGTAATGTTAGCAAATATTGATATTCAAATGATTGATTATAGACACCATTAACTTGACTGACAATAATATAGACCTCCCAAACAGCTATAGGTAAAATAGCTAACTGGCCAAATAGTTTCAGTGGTTTCTGTACATAGATATTACCAGTTTTTCGATCGTAGGCCAGACCACCAAATGTTATACAAAAAATCCGATGAAACCATATTAACGTCCAAACAATAATCGGTAATTTTGTTTCAATCCATATCTTTATATTTTTAATGTAATTATTTGTTTTTTTCATTGTAAATTTATATTACTTGTTATTTTTTATTTAAACACAATTTTCAATACTATTATTAATATTTAAATACTAAAATCAAAATCTTGCATAAAATAAAATAATTAATTTATACAGTGTATAATATAGACTATTTATAATTTATTATAGTTTATACTGTTTTTCTGCTGTATTATAATTTATTATTATAAATATTAATCAATATACTAATTATACAAATTATATATAGTATTGATAAATATTATTTGCTTTATGCTATTTTATAACTAAATAATTCATATAAATATATTGATTTGTTTAACACAATGTCAATTCACTATATTTTTTAGCAATTTATTTTATTTACTTAAATACAAATTCAATTATCATAATTAAA